CTGTGGGTGCCGGCTGGGCGGAAGGGGGCTGGGGGGCGGGAGGGAAGGAGCAGAGGGCTGGATTGGTGGGTCATCCTGCGCGGAACCCAAACCCCAGAGCTGAGGCCGGTCCCGTCCTTCTGACCCTCCCCCTCACACACGCACACGAAAGCCGGCCCAGCCCCCCGCAGGTTGGCTGAATGAGAGGCTACAACAAACCCCAACCCTAAGCCCCAAGTAGACCCCAATCTTAAAGCCCAGGCATTACCACAACCTAAAGTCCACAGTGACCTCCAATCACAACTCCCTCAAACCCAGTCCCAGACCTAACCTCCAAGCCAGGCCCCAACACCCTCCCCCCTATCCCCTAACTTAACCCCGAGACCCCAAAGCCAACCCGGGCCAAGGTCCAGTCCTGGTCCCACTAAATCCCCCCAATGACAACCCCAGCCCCAGCCCCAGCTTCGCCAGTCCTAACAGTGGGAGCTGAACCCCAACCTCAATGGTCCCCTTAACCACTGAGGGTCCCCCAAATGTGCTTGGCAGGCTACTCACAAATCACTCTACACCCTGTGAACCTCAAGTCTCCCAGCCACACCTCTGCAGGCCTCTAATTACCAGCCTTGCCCCTCAACGTCGCTGCCCAGGGGCTGGGCTGGGAGACCGCAGGCCACCAAAGACCCCTGGCATCCTGGGTCCCGGTGAGAAATCAGGGTTCAAGCAACAGCTGATGTGCTCGAGGCCCCGCGGGGAAGGGTGCAGCCTGGATTCCATCAGGTCCCTGCAACCCCTAATCTTGCCTCCGGCCTCAGGGTCCTGAACACCAGCGCGAGCCCCCCTCCGTCCCACCACGCCCCTCTGCGGCCCCGCACCCACATCCGCCGGCCCAGACCCGATTCGCCCATCACTCCGAACGCCAATCTTGTTGGCACAGCTACTCGTCCTGACCCCAGACGGGGCTCCAGGCTTTGCCAGCCCTGCAGCCCTCCCTGTCCCCCGGAATCCTTCCCGAAGCATTCGTGTCCCTCAAAACTGGACCTTGTATTCGCATAACCTTTGGCTTGAGTGGAAAGTCAAGGTTAGGAAGAGAAATTTCCCAGGAAAATGGAGTGGCATCGGGGCTCACTCTCAAGCCGCCCTATTCTGACTCACGGCCGGTTCGCTGCCTGGGAACAAACAGGCTGGGGGGCTCCAGTCCCTGCGCCTTGTGCGTAAAGAGGCGGGAGCGGGAGGGAGGCGCCCCAGCAGGAACCAGAGACCCTCCAAGTGCAGGGCCAGCCAGACGCCCTCTCCAGGGGGCTCAGCAAGTGGAGGCTCGTCCTGGCTCCTGCTCGGGTCCTCCCTGCCTCCCATCCCTGTCCCGGCCGTGACCCCCGGCGAGTCCCTTACTTGCTGTTGGCTATTTTCATGGCCAAGCCACGGACCCCAACCCATGGGCCTGCTCCCCTCGCCCTCCGCCGTCAGCTGCCAGCACCATTACCATCGAACTTGACGTTGAGCACGAAGTCCTTGTAGAGGCGCCGCCCGCTGACGGGCCGCATGGCGTCGCAGAGGCGGGTGGTGTTGGGGCAGAGGGCGCGGTGCATGTTGTGCAGCGCGTGGGCCATGGCGTACACGGCGTTGACCACGAACATGATCTTGGACTCCTGCTCGAAGGGCACGGCCCGCAGGGAGTGGGCCGCGCAGTCCCGCCGCCGGAAGCTGCAGCGGAACCTCTGCTCCCAGAACTCGCGGAACCAGGGGTTGCGGCTGTTGTT